GGAATTCTGTCATGGGCAGCGAACTGACCCAGTGCTTTGCAGACCGTACCGCTTCCAGTTCCTGTCTTCCCTGTCCTCTGATGCTAATTCAAGGAAAATCAGCTGAGAAAACCAGTGTCTTCCCCCACTTGCCAGGCGCGGATGTTCCTCCTTCACCTAAGGCACACACAGTCAGTGCAGCAGCTGGCGCTACCAGGCGCACTGACTTGGGCTACTCACATTGAATCAGACCTGTACTTTAAACTGGTATGGCAGTCACCTCAGGGGGAGAATCCAGTGATTGTTCCATGGTACAAGGCCAGAGATTACACAGCAATATTTGGGCAGCAAGTAAAAAAAAGAAAAGCCTGTGGTGTTAACATAGCAGAGTGGAGGTAGCAGGTAGCATCAGGGACTTTCCCTGCAGACCTCAGTCATGCAAAACTCATTGTGAAATCTGGCCAGGATGCTAGGATTCCTTACAGCAAAAGCTGTTACAGGATCTTTACTGAGCATTTGGACAGAATCTCTGTTCTACATCTTGCATACATGTCTAAAGACAGGTAGCTCTGGTATAGAATTCTCCCCAGCTGAGCACAAAGCCACATCTTATATGGGCATACGTAATTTGTCATTTTATGCCCTTGGTTTAAAGTATTTATATTTTTTTTTGTTAGAGCTAAGTAGCACCAGCAGAGGTTAAGGTGTCATCATTTCCACTATAAACCCAGCTCTTTCTGAGGGTTAGGTAACATTTCTTGTATAACACACTATACTGAAATTCTGCCATGCAGATGCTGTCCAAGACGTAAGGCATTAATTTTTCACCAAATTTTATTTGAAGACATTATGGTAGTTAATGGTTTAGAAAAATGTAAATTCTAAGCTTTTTTTCCAGAGGCTGTTCTTGCATTATATACTTCAAGAATGGCTTAACATTTCCTATCTCTTAGCCACTAATATAGACAAACCAAACGGAGACAGCATAATTGAATGTCCTGCTTTGGGAGGTTTAAACATAGCGTTTCTATGTAAAGAATGTCCAAAGCCAGAGCTCACAGTCAGTCATCCAGAATGTTGTGCTGTGGAGCACAATAACACTAGACATCCTGCTGGAGTAGGTGGGAAATGCCTCCACAAGCAAAGGGGGAAGACTCCCAGAGCCTGAACCTAGTATTTTAAGCCACTGTCAGTAAGTGGGGACACTCAACACCTCAGTTGGAGGAGCAGAATGTACATAGCTCTGATCTCAGTGAGTGGGTGGTGCAACCATCACATCATGTGGTCTGTGCTAATGGATAGTCAATGGGAAGAAGGGACCAAGCTCTCTTAGACCTGCTGGAAAATCTGTTCTTGACAAATAGAAGATACTGTAGCAAACAGACGTGTCAGAACTGGTCTGGAAGGGAAAGGTGGTGCGTTTGTACCTACTCATAGCAATTTTGCAGTGTTCAACTGTCAGAAGTATATGTAGACTTGTGTTACTAACATTGCTACATAAAAGCGCGAATTATAATCGTACTGGATTGTATACCCTGTGCAGTTACAGAGAGAACATGCCAAGATCCTCAAAGACTTATGTTTCCTCTTTTTCTTTTATCCCACAGGTAATAACTCCAGTCAGGTCAGGACAAGGTTATGTTTATGAATTCCCTTCCAAATACCAGAAGGATACGTATGATATTCCCCCTGTGCGCCCTCTCCAAGGGGTAGGTACCAATAAAACTGCCAACAGTATTGACAGGGCACAAAAGGTGATAAATTTCTACCAGAAGTTTATGAGCAAAGCAAGTTCTCTCATTTCAGAGAGAAAATATGTTTTAATTAGATGCAGTGGCTTATTCACAGAGCGCAGAAGTATTTCAAAGTTGTATTTGATGTTGACTAAGGTTTGGCAGCACACCAAACACAAAAGTCCCATTTGTTTTCTGTGTTTTGATCAAAGAGTATATCTAAACAGAATAAACTTGCTGCCTGGGAACAATTTTTTTTCCCCTTACTTTGTTGTTGCATAGTTGACAGTAATTCACTCAGTAAGGGTAAAATTATCACCTAGATGAACAGCTACTATGCAGGGAATTGTTTTCACCACGTATCTACTGCACCATGTCACTGAACTTGAAATATATCTTTGTTCTAGGGAACACCCTTAGCATTCAATCCCCAAGACCACAGACATCTAGAGTGGATGCTTGCAGGACCTGTAACTCAACAACCCTGCATCTCTCCACGGCTTTTTGACAGAGTAGCTCCTCTAGGGAACAACATTGGAGCCTAATAGTACATAACACAGACTGACACCAAATGGCTGGAACTGTTGGGAAGTCTGGGTTAAGAGACATTCAGACAGTGGCCTTACACCATGTGCAAAACCCAGTGTAATCTAGGACGTGCCATGGGACACTTGAAACATCTGACAGCTGTACTTTCTGCTAGTAAGACAGCTCACACTGCACCCAATAAAGCAGATAGGCGATGCTGACGGGGACAGCCTTAGTTTCAGAGAGTTTTGTATGTACTTGTACAAGCTTATTCCTCAGTCCGTCTAATCTCTATCAGTAAGGGTGTGATCAGTTCTGGTCACATGAATATACTGCTCCCCTGTTCAACCCAGCAGGTATCTGTAATAGACTGGCCTTGATTTAACTCTCGGGATGGAAGTCAGCCATGACTTCATCTCTCCAGCCTGCTGTCCACACAATTGCCCAGAGGGGCCCTAGCAAAGTGCATTTCCTCCTAGCTGTCCAAAATACCAGGCAAATCCAAGCAGCTCTCCCATATGAAACAAAGTTGAAGAGCTCTGATCATCTTCGGGCTGTTTGAGAGGAAACACAGAAAACAGGAAAACTCATCTGAGATCAGAGCTTTCCTGAGGTGACTTGTTTCTGTAACCAGTTTATTCTTTCTTTAGATATACGACATTCCACCCACATCGGTTAAGGGGCCTGCGCTTCCAGTTCCCATGGGAGAAGCAAAAGCTTTAGGAGTCTATGACATACCACCTGCCAAAGGGGTAGGTATTACACTGTTTCCACAAGATCCTGTATTTTTATGTCTGACCAAAGACATGTTTAAACAAGAGTGCATGTATGATCATGAAGGAAAAGGAGATTCAGTACTTTAAAGATTTCCTTAGGTGTTAAAACTGGTAAAGTGAAGCTCTGCGTCAAAATTATTAATGTTATGTAGTGTGAATTGATAATTAGACCTACATTATCTTTGTGGTAGCATGCTGCCTTTTCAGATTTTGCTGCTTACGAGAATTTGCGTCAAGATGAATATTGAAAAGTGAGATATTAAAACTGACACTCGGTCAAACTCAGCATAAGGAACTGACTCCATGAAAGTCAATGATAGATCTTCCATCCCGGCATGTTGTAGGCCGCATGGAAGATGTAAAGGATTTTGCTATTCTAGCCAAAGGTTTCATGGTTTGCTTTCTGTGATTCAGGTCTATGCTACACCTCCGTCTGCATGCCGAAATGATACAGGCCTGAGGGAAAATCTGCAGGATTTTTCATCTCCAGTGGGCCACAGTGTAAGACCAGAAGGAGTATATGATATTCCTCCTCCTATCACCAAAGCAACTGGGAAAGAACTTAATAAATTTTCTCCTGAGAGCCTTTTATTGCCAGATGGAGTGCCACAGAAACAGAGTGTTTACGACATCCCTATGAACCATCAAAACCATTTTCTTGGGCAGCAAATTGCACCTCAAAAAGATGTTTATGATACCCCAAGGGGAATTGCATTCCCAGGACAACAGACAGGACTCGGTGAAAGTCTCATCCCAGAAGGAAGAGAAGGTGTGTATGATGTGCCACCAGCAGTCCTCCAAGACACTAAAGGTGTACAGGATGTGACTGATGGGATAAATAGGTTGTCTTTCTCCAGCACAGGAAGCACAAGGAGTAACATGTCCACTTCTTCAACAACATCAAAAGACTCTTTCTCAGCATCAACTGCACAGGACAAAAGACTAATCCTCGATCCAGACACTGCTATAGAGAGGCTTTATCGCCTCCAGCAGATGGTGGAGACAGCTGTCCATAACCTCATGGCCTTCACTACAGCAGACTGGCGGTCTTATGGATATATGGAGAAACACATCAATGAAATTCACACTGCTGTGGATAAGGTAGAGCAGTCGCTGTTGGAGTACCTCCAGTTTGCAAAAGGATCAGCAGCCAATGCTTCCTGCCTATCTGAGTTCAGCCTCCTCAACAAAATGAGGAGGGAGGTGCAAAGGCTGGAGGACTCTCACCAGATCCTTACCCAAACCAGTCATGACTTGAACAGCTACAACTGGTCTTTGAATGTTCTAGCTGTCAATAGACTGCAGAACAAGTGTGATGACCTGGATCGGTTTGTTATGGTGGCAAGGACAGTCCCAGATGATGCCAAGCAACTGACCACTACCATCAGCATCAATGCAGAGGTGCTTTTCAAACAGGCATTGAGCAGCTCACGTTTCAAAAACATACCAGAGAATATCGTGAACACTTCTGACTGTGTGTATGACAATCCTCATATGCAGCATCATGGAGAAAAAGCACAGAACCACTGCCGTTCCCTTCCTCCACTCCTGAGTAAAGGTCAGCACCCTCACAATACCACCAGTGAGAGCTCGGAAAAGAGCTGGATGGATGACTACGATTACGTTCACCTGCAGGTACGTAAACCTAACACCTTTGTCTGCACAAGGCCAAGTAGGAGTTGTTGATGCTTCTGCTTGCAAAAGCTGTTCGCTGGAAGGTAGCAATCACATTGTCACACTAATACACGTTCAAGAGTAATTTCACCAGGGCGATTACTTGCTTTCACATAGGACTGTTGCATACATAATAGCAATAGTCTTTTTCTCTGCCACACTAGCCTTTTCTTCTCCATACTCTCAGTGGTGCGCTACCAGTGAAAAAGCCCATACAAAGCAGCCTGTTATTTGACCTATGAATTGTCACTTAGCTCAGGAGCAGTTTGGTTTAACATGGTGTCTTCTTGTATTATGGAAAACAGGGGAAAGAAGAGTTTGAAAGGCAACAGAAGGAGCTGCTGGAAAAAGAAAATATCATCAAGCAGAGCAAAATGGAGCTAGAGCACCATCAGGTATGTTTGCTCAGGTGCGATAATCATATTGAAATGCAGTGTTCCTTGCACATAAGGAGTACTAGTCAAATAAAGCAGGAGGGGCCCTTCACTTAGCAGTATGCAACTGCTAGCATCATTGCTGTGAGGTGTGCATGAGTGCTGGCACATGCAGTTGGGAAGTCCCAGGTGCTAGATGGTGAAGACAGCAGGTATTAGGTCTTGACTAAATAGTAGGTCCAGATTAGTTTCTTTCCAAATGGGATTTGTGCTAGTCACACTCCACCATTAATGGTTTTATCAACACAAAGGACAAGGACACGCACTGTCATGTTCCAAATGGGAAATGGTGAGCATCAAGATTTTACCACCTTCCTGGGCCCATGCATCTGTGTAGGCAATTGCTTATGCCAGAGACAGCTTAAGTATTTATTGCAGAGTAGCTATTTGGAAGATCAGCATCTCTGCCCTGTTCATTTCCTTGCTACCACTTAGCAACTGAGTGGAAGCACAGCCATAGCTCTCAGTGTTTGGAATGATGTCTCTTGTAAGCCTTTCCCTTGAAAACAATTTCCAATGGTCTCAATTTAAGAGACCAATTATTTTTTTATACAACGCACTGTTGCGATGGGCCCAGTGCATACGCATAATGAAAAGCAGTCTCTGTCTCCAGAAGTTTACCACAGAGGAGAAACACACTTCTGCAACATCTCACAGTGGATCAGTCACAAAGCCAGCTTGAGAACTTGGCTTTCCTGACCTGCAATTCAGTGCCTTAATCACTGGACCACACTGAATACACATGCCACCTGCACATCTGTTCAGTGAACCTCAATACCATTAACTTAAATACTGTGCTTAACATCACTTTAAATGCTAAAAAAGCAGGTCATATAAGATTGAGGGCTATCACTTTGCCCTCGTATTAATTCTTCAGTATGTTGTTGCCATATCGTATGGCAGAAAACTGTACAAGCAATGTGGATGTGAGAGTTAAAGGTTTGTCATCTCAGAAACCCACATACATGGCAGCTTTTTAAAGACTGCGTAGGAGTCATTGCCACTTGGATCCATCTCTCTCGCTTGTGATTTCAGAATATTCCAAATGAGCAACAGCCTGTAAATTCAGGAAGTTGTTTTGTTTTGTTTTTTTTTAAACACAAATAAAGTATTTTAGATGTTTTTCTCTTCTGAACTCTGTGTATTTGGATTTATGGTAACCAAAGCACTTGATTACCCCTCTCTTTCTGAAATAAAAAAATCTTAGAAAACACATATACTATTTTTTATTTAGCATAAGGCCAGTCTAGGATACCCAGAGGTGTCCTGAGGCATAAGGTGAAATTGTAATATGTAACAACATCTTACGAGAATATTCTTTGAAGAGACCCTTTTTATTTGCCTTCCAGATTAATCAGTTTCAACGTCTGGAGCAAGAGATCACAAAGCCAGTAGAGAACGACATCTCAAAATGGAAGCCACCTCAAGCTCTCCAGACTGCAAACAGCACCGCCACCTCCCATGACAGCCAGCTGCTTTTATTCTATTCTGACCAATGTGAGACTCACTTCAACTCCCTCCTAAATGCCATCGACGCCTTTTTCAGTTGCGTCAACGCTTCTCAGCCCCCGCGAATCTTCGTGGCTCACAGCAAATTTGTCATTTTGAGCGCTCACAAACTTGTGTTCATTGGGGACATGCTCACGAGGCAAGTGACGACTCAGGACATACGCAACAAAGTCATGAACTCCAGCAACCAGTTGTGTGAACTGCTGAAGAGTGTTGTTCTGGCTACCAAGATGGCTGCCTTGCATTACCCCAACACAGCAGCCCTACAGAAGATGGTGGACCAAGTAACAGAGCTGTCTCATCACGCACAGTTGTTCAAACTCTCGTTGGTCCAAATGGCATCCTTGTGAAACCCAGTGGAATCCAATCCATGAGCAGCAAACCCAAACAGCAAAAAAAAACTGGAGCTATTTTTATGTAAATGTTATCATTTATTTTTTTTAAGATATTTTTTATGAAGTATTTTAAATACATTTTTATGCGTTAGAGAATCTAATGAAATCAGGGATCTGGGAATATATCCGGTTCTGTATTATGTTTCTAATACACATTTAGATATGTACACACTGCATATATGTATATGTTGCTACATTCCCTAAAATATCAATTAAGCACCTTAAAAATTATGCGTTGGGTAAGCAGTGCGTATCTTTTGTATATACTGCCTGTTTCCTCAGTATATTTGTTAACTGGATGCTGCGCTCTTCTTGTTTCATTCCATCTTGATTTTGGCACATGGACTTGGTTGTGAAACCTACTTGTAGCAATCCATGAAGCAAGTGTAATGGTTCTCATAGAACTCCATTCCCTTCTTAGAAATTACTTTCTATAGGTTAATTCCATGAAAATTAACGCTCCTCTTGATGTTACTTTGTTATGTACAGCCTTGGATCATTCTGAGTAGCATATATGCGCAACTGCAACAAGCAACACATCAAGCAAAGCATACAGCATTTGGGAGAAAAGGATTTTTAGGCCATATAAGAAACAGAACCTTCTAAGGAGGAAGGCAGAATCTTATATATTTAATATGTTGTAGCATTCAAATTTCACTATGTCTAATAACTGTACAACATGGGATTTCAAAATGTGGATGGAATCCCAGCAATGTAAATTCATACACGTTTACCTTGTATGACCTTGCATTGGCAATTAAATTTAACAGTCAGGCTCAAAAGCCTTATTGTTCCTGGACTCAGAGTTATCCTGAGAGCATCCCAGGATCCACTGGGCTCATCTTTGAGGCTGCAGATGAGCAATGTCTCAAAATACCAGTCCCTTCCAGAGGGATTAATGTACAGATTGTAATTCATATGGAGAGAAAACAGCTTAATTTGAAAGAACAGATACTTAAACATCTCTATAGCACACACACTATTTAATGAAGATATAGCACTTATTTTTCTATGACATCTTCTTGGGAATTGACTGCATCTATTGCAATTCTGACTTCCATTCAACTATCAGGCTTTTTTCCCCCAATTCGGTTGCATAGGTGCTGGTCGTTCTGCACTACAGCATTGCCAAAAATGACCTCCCATTTTAATGGGGCCATTCCATCAGTAGGAACACACAATCCCAACCAGTAATTTTCAATATAGACCCTTAAAAATTGTTAGCAGAGTGGTAGACGCCTTTAGAAATTTCACATATGCTGGCTGCTCCAAAATATGTATAAACTTACTTATCTTTGTTGCCTTTTGTGAAACCCCTAAAAGTAAGGCACAGAACAGCAGTTGCCTCTGGTCCTTAGACTAGAAGCCACGCTTCAAAGCGGGCAATAGCTCAGGTAAATTCTGGGTGGTTCTGGTGTTTTTAAAAGCAGAAACACTACTGTCCTTGCATAATTCAAGGTAGTTCCACATTGATGTGTTCTGAGTGTTTGCAGCAGCAAGCGGATCACTGGTAAATACACCCTCGCAAGATCAGTAGCACCTAGAAAACAGGTGCTTCTACCTAACTTTTTGCTTTCCCAGTTTGTATCTAAACATGTGCCTTATTGAAATGGGATTTGTTTTCTTAGATAACAAAACCATTTTAGCAGCGTATGAAATCTTGCAGCCTTAATGTATTGTCTCAGAGCGAAGCTACCATAATGTGGCTTCCAGAGTCTGCAGAACATTCCGAGGAAGGCCAGCGGGAGCCAGCACAGCCTCAGCTGGCCCAGAATCGGCTCCAGGGCTTGGCTCTGGCATAACATCCAGAAAGGGTGGTTATCCTATTGTAACTGATAGCCAGTTGCCAAAAAGCAATCCACGTGAACCTGTTTTGTACTAGTGTTGTTTGGGATTCTTTTGGATTTCCTCATCCATTTTTTTCACTGTATATTCTTAGAAAGTGAAAAGGTGTTTTGAAGCTTAGTGGTTACGTTGATAGTTTGTGCTTTCAAAAGGAGAACTTTTATTGCAAGCCTGTATTGCAGTTTCTTATCTTGTAGAGAGTCATTTTAAAATTATTAAATTACTAGATTTTTTATATAAAAAGGCAATACTTGGGTCTTATTTTTTGTTGTTCTTAGAGTCCTCTGAGCATATTAAAAGGAATTATTGCTGCTTGCTAATACTATCAAAGCCGTTCTAAAATGAGGAGTTCACTTTCCATCTTTTCACTGATCAGTGCTTACAGCGTGAAGTGAGAACTTGAGGGTATAAGAGGAAAGGACAGACAGTTTCTCTGCCTGTCCAGAAGAAGTAGGTGAAGCATTTGTCCAACTCAGCTACACAAGGCATCAAGTTCAAAATACAGCCGTCAGGGTCTACAGTGCACCGGGCCACACTCCTGTCCCATCCCCAGTATCTGTTCCTGCTGCGTGAGCTGCATCCCAAAACTGCCTCACCATAGCACAGGCACTGGTCCTCGAGGTGAACGGGGCAGTTCCTCTCAACACTACCCCATGATAAGGTGGGGTGGCAGGACACCGCTGTGACTGTCCACCCATTCTGGCCTGCTCCTCCTCTCCAGCATTTACTGGTGAGGCCATGATCCACACAGGAACTGCAAAAGCAACTTTGTTCAGTGTAGCCAGCCTTCCCCCGCCAGCCCATTGGTATGAGCACCTCTCTTCTACTACATGCCAAGTTGAGCATTTTCTGGGTGTGGGTTCCATCTGAAACAACCACATGGCTTTAAGGATCAGGGAGCCTTTCCCAAAAGTTACTTTCCCATTTCACTGTTGCCGAGGTGCTGCCCTACCTCCTGTCAAACACCCTGGGTGTGCGAGAAGGAGAGAAAAAGCCTGGGACTGCCTCTGTGCTTACACC